CTTGACATCTTCACCCTTACGATCATATTAATCCTCACGCGCGCGCTTCTTCGAGAAGGCCCGGCGATCAATGCACGGCGATACTTTGCGTCGATTAAAATTTTAATACGCCACTCCGAAATGGGTAATTTTATATTGCATAATCAAAGGCAATACACGTGTGTTTACAATTCGCTAATTCGGATTTTTGTCACTAATGGGGGACGTTAATTCGATCTTCGCGTCGCATTAAAATTGCATGACGGATATTATTTATCCTTCCGCTCAGTGTCTAACCAATCGTATGTAATAATATGGAAGAGAGACGTGGTAATGTGAAAGATGAACTTGAGTGGAGTACTACTTTAACACCGCTTGTTAGTTTAAGATCAATTTCTTAAGACTTCCTAAAGTACGCGAGACCCTTTTCACAGCCAAAAAATGCATATAATGCATGTTTACTGATGGTATCGCTCTTATATAAATTTCATGGTTTGATGGGCAGGTGATTTTCAGCTCCTCACCAAGCCTATCTGGATTAACACACCTAGCCCGTATCACCCAAAAAAAACCCACCTTATCATCCCCATCAGACATGCACTGCAGCCCACAGCTTACGAACTTTTCAAACAAACGGCTGATAAATGTGCCTTTGCAATCCAGGTGTGATCTGTACATTTCTCTGGGTCCAAATCGTTTCAGTTTGATAACCCCCCCCCCCACACTTTTAAATATTTTTTTCTATAAATGTGTTCCTTTTGAACTTGAATAGCGTAAAATGTTGAACGTTGCTGTTCAGGGGCATCTTGCTGTGAGAACAAGGAATCGAGAGCTTTTTTTTGTTCAGAGACTCATGTAAAATGTGTGCTTTTAAAGAGCACAGAGACACAGATAAATATCCCCTGTATAGCCTGACAGGTTTTTGGGGCAAGTGCTGTTAGCGGGCACCTATGAAGGCCGGCACAGCACACGAGAGGTTGGATAGCCAGCAGCACGCCCGGCCGACTTTGTCTCCCCAATGCTAATGTTTACACACCGCACCAGGTATTCATTTCAGGCTGAGTAGACCTAATGGATGCCCACGACCGGTTCAGATAATCGTCATTGGTGCTGGCCACGAGCGGGAATCGAACTCGGGCCGGCGGGTTCGTAGCGCTAACCGCTGCACGACCGCTCCCCATGCACAGACACGCACATGCGTGCGTGTGCACGTGTGTGCGTGTCCATGCATGGGGAGCGAACGTGTCATAATGGGTGTGTTTTGAATTTACAGGTGTGCTCGCCTTACAGGTAAATCCGCCGAATTAAGGCTGTAGGCTGCACTAATAAATGTACACTTCTGCCAAATTTGAATTGGCAAGGCACTGAAATAATTAGGCAAACATTGCCTAATCGTCGCGTCACCATCCCTATTGTTACTTATTTCCTAAACACGTGCGGTGTAACGATGCTTCAATTCATCCATTCTTAAGGTCTCGACAGGAATTTACGTAGTTGTGCAATTTGTACCTCGTGTGTTTAATATTTATTTGAAAGCAAATTCCTTACCTTTTCTATATTTTGCTCTGATGTAGTTTCGTTGTTATTGTAACTTGCCGACCCACCGGCTACAGGACAACTGTGAAAAAAAAGCTTTACGGCTCATCGGATTCCTCCAGCCTAACTAAAGATGCTGATCCTTAATTCATGAGTTCAACCCGTGCGTCACAATTCACGTACGTGTGTTTTTTCTAGGATATTATTCGGGATGGTGGGAGTGGTGGCGCAGTAGTGGCTGGCACGCTGCACTCCGAACTCGGTGAGATGAGTCCGTTTCACCTCCACACATTCATTAGAGTCGCGTTACGTTTTCTGCCTCTCTTAATTGTTTGAGTTCAGTTTTTAATTAAAACTTGGTTTTAATTGTAAATTATGTGCGGTTTTTTATTTTTTAATTTTTTCTGCAGTTGCTTTTGTAACCTCGTTTTCCCTTGACAAAGAGACGTATGCTCAAAAATGAATGTTCTCTCTGTATTCATGTAAATCATAACACTCATAATCTTCAGCCGGGTGGTCAATCCACTGCACAAAATAGGCCTCCCCCCTCGCCTTACTTGCCATGGGGCTGTTTGACCATACTTCCCCACACTGGTTGCTGTGGGTTGGTGAAGGAAGAGAGGTCAAGTCTGGTTCGGATTATCACTTGCCACTGATGTTAGCCGTGACTGGGACAATGCATTGCAAGCAACTGCTTCTATATGTACCGTATACTGTACTGAACGTGCATATTCATACGGCTTTTACAAAACATGACTGAAAAATCTATTCATTTACCCTAAAGTGAGTTAGTTGGTCTTAAAAAAGAAGATAAAAACCGGTAAGACTTTAATCATGAATTTCATGACACCGTGAGCCCGCTGGCACTAAGTCGCGCTCTGCACGCCTGGCAATTTTGCACACGCGGGGAAGTCGTACACAGGCGGTCACATCTGCAGACTTTCACGTTCACTTCTCCACCTCTGGCAGACCCAAAGCGATACCGTGTGCAAGGCAAGTGCTGGTCGCGAGCGCCTATTGTATGCATGCGTGCATGTTGGACTTCTTTTGCGCCGTACGTAGCCAATCGCAAGGTGAGTGGCCTCTCGTGCAATCGAGGCGGTCACGGTGCACGAGGTGGTGCTATGGCCAGCAACACGCCCCACCCACCCTTGTACCCCCCCGCCCCACTGCTGAGGTTGACACACCGCAGGATCTCGTAGAAGTCTGAGTTGAGCTAAGTCCCGGACTGAAGAAGTCTTGCCCATCCTCTGCCCCCATCCGCACCCACCTCCACTGCTCCATCCTGCGTTGAACAGCGTGGTGACGTATGGATAAAACGACTCCTATGACTGATGTGGCATGGGGTGGGGGGGGTACCTTAGTCCAGCACATCAGTGGATTGACGTAAAAAAAAAAATAATTGCTGAACAAAGGCCCAAAACACCAAGTGGGCGACAACTAAACAGCACTACTGACGGTGTAACAGACAGGAGTAAACACATTTCGTGAGTTTTACGCATCTCAAAATGTGTATGCGTGCGTGCGTGATGCTAACGAAAAAAAAAAGGGACATTCTTAAATTTTTTTGGGACGCATTTTCTATCTGATGCACGGCAGAGAAAATGTCGAAGCGAAGGGGGAGAATACTTTGACGCTCTTAGCCTTAAGCCCACAACTCCTTCATGCAAGGGCAGAGCACTACTGTAATTCTGACCCCGAGGAGGATTTTGCGAGCGCATTTTCGGGGTGACAGGGGTCAGAGGAGGGCCCATGTGCATTTAGCATACCTGAAGGTTGTTTTAAAATCACTGGCAACCACCAACTCAGGATTCCTGCGCAGCTCTGAGTGCAGAATTGAATTACAGGTCAATGCGCTAGAGGGCCTTCGAAAAAACTGGTTCTGGTGTGTACATGCCCATCACGTACAACTTGACGCTATGTTTTAAAGCAATAAAACACACATATGGGTCGTTTGAGGTCCCATCGCTGAACAAAATGCGTTATCAAACCTTAGTGTGATCTTTAGACCAACGACGAATTCAAAGCTTTGATAATATCAAATCGGTGGGTGTAATATTTGTTGAGGGTGGGATTGGTGGTGGTGGTAGTGGTGGTTTAGCTGTTTACATTCTGTGCTATGAACATGGTTACATTATTCATTATTCGTGGCCATAGCGAACGTCAGTGGTCAGTGACATCTGAAACGACTCTGGGCCCCGCTCCCCCTTTGACCAACCTGCACTGACCAGTGTGGTGAAGTATGGTCAAATAACCCCCATGTCTTGTACAGTGTAGAGAGGCTTTCATCCAGCATTAGATTGACAAAGGGCTGTAAATGATATTATCATTCAAAATGTTATTATTTACCATTAATAGTTTCTCACTAACAAAGCTTATTAAATACGTATTTCGTAGTTCACTTATCCCTTGCATTCCAAATAGTGCTTGTGCCATAAGTGTGGATATAAAACACCAAATGTGCTTACTTATATCCATGCTGTGAAATATTCTTTTACTCTGATTACTTTCTATTTTTTGTAGTTAGTCTCTCTGAACATGACCCTGCAATTGATTTTCAGGTGCTAGTGAAGTGGAGTCCTTTTCAGAGTGGATTTTAGTCACATTGCACTCAAGTAATAGAGGTCCACTCCATCATACACCATGGCTAGGATGCTTACATTAACAGCAGGCTTTGTAAGCACAATGCATTGTAAGAATTGAGCTAAAGAAAGCCGAGGGCTGAGTACACACCCAAGAGCATCACGCGCCACTTCTGCTGACACGTGATTATTAAGAAATCGTAATTATTACAAAACGACGATGACACGACGCCTTGACGTTAAATTTAACTGCACAAGTGAAGCCCATTGTGCTAAGTTGTCATCGGAACCACAAGCGTCCAACATGCTTACCAAGAAACTTTAAAGCAAAAAAGCAAGAGAGAAGCTTTTTACAAAGAAAGAGGAGCGAGCGAGCGAGAGAGAGAAAAAAAAAATGCTGTCCGGTGACTTGCTAAGCGCGGGATAAAGCTTTGGACAAATCCCTCAGGCATTGTCCGCCTGCACAGACCAGATAGGAACCTCTTTTCTGTAATGAATCGAGATAACTAGCAAAAGCCAAAGACTGGTTGCTTATAATCAGAGGCATGAATTTCACGTGAAGAAAAAAAAAAACTACATTAGCCACACACACAATGATGGCTCCGCGAGACCACACGGTCTGTGCAGTTTTTCACGTCGGTAGTTTGCTATCACGCCTTAACCCCTCGCTCGCCCACAATGGAAACGACGCCGCCACCGCAATTCTGAACTTGGCACAAAGGAACGCTCGCCTTCTCCAGCCCCATCCGACACACGCCGCCGCGGTAGCAGCGGCGGCGGCAGTAGCGGCACATCCCAACGGACAGACGCAGAGGCGTAAGAATAAGCCTGGGGAAAATCCGGGGATTTGGACGTTTGGAAAGCGTTGCGGGGGGCGCCACTGATGAAGCACGCGGCACTCACCAGTTGTTGACTTGTAATATGGTCAATCCGGTGTCCTGCGCAAGTTGTTTCTTTTGTTCTTCTGACGGGTACGGGTGCTGGAATATGTAACACAACAACAAAAAAAAAGGAACAAGGGTCGGGGAGTATACACGAGACATCCCATTAGCCCGCGGAATTAATTACCGAGAGCGACGCATCACGCACGTTTCTGTGCGCAGCTATTGAAATTTTCAGCGGTGCAAAAAAAATATGGGGGGGGGGGGGGGGGGGGAATTTATTTATTATTTCATCACACTCTTTTTTAATCGTCACAAAGATTAGCCCAAGAAGGTGATGACAGCTCTGTGATTTCCGCTTTTGGAAATAATTAAAACGAGCTGCCTTTGCATTAATTTTCATTTTCATTGCATATTATCGCTTCTTATCATTTTTTTTTTTACAAATTTCATCACACCCCATTGTTGAAACGCACACACTTAGCAAAGGGCATTTTGCTCTTATCTTATTTTTAATTAGATTTATTTAACTTTACAGCGTCGCTAACTGGTCACAAGGGAAGGATGGTTTCGTTGGGGAAATCTACAACTCGTCGAAACTATCTCCACAATTGAGGATAGCAATTTTATTGCAGTAATTATTGCCTCAATTACAATGTAGTGTTCTCGTGGAACAATCATACTTTCAATGCTGTCGTTTTTTGTTTGTCTGACCTAAAATATACACACATCTGACGTACAATCAGGCCAGTTTCATCACCGTGTTCTGCAGTGGTTCTACGCTATTTTTAATTTAAACTGCAGATTGAAAGTTTTCCATTATATTTCCTGATCGCCTTTTTTCTATCCTACTCAGTGCCCCTCTGCAATTATACAGCAAAAGTACACTACAGTCTTGTATTTCGATGCTTTTTTTTCCACGACACATAGAATTTCCCCTGCAGATGCTGTTTACTTTGCAAAAAAAGCTTTTGCTCTCCCTGTTGCTTTACAAATTAAATCCACTTTTATTCCTTACTGCTTAGCTCCGTCAAATGCTCTGCAGCTGATCGCCGGTGTATCCGGGTTGAAACCGCCTGTTTGTTGCTCGGTACTGTGTCTGACTTCACGCTCTACGAGATGAGAGCCTCTTCTGTTGGGATCGATGGGGCATCGTGCCGAACGACACGCGGCACAAACTGAAAACGCGACGGAGAGTTGTTCGTATGTTTTATATCTGTTGAACTTCTTTAGCACCGTACGTAGCCAACCGTTATAATCGGAGTTTTTAATCTACATTCAAAAGTGCATAGCTCCAGTGAGGTCCTTATATCGGAAGGAGGAGTATTCCAGACGGTCGCAGAAGTACATCTCAAAGCTCGTGATGCGGTAACCGTCTTTGTACACCACAACCGTGAAAAACTACGCAGTCGTACTTTCTGTAATCCATGAGAAACCAGTCAGACACAAAAGTGCGTGCAAGCTGGTGACTTTTTGTCCACCATCTACAGAGAGTGTCAGATTTGGTTTATTGTAACCTAGTCAGTGGCAAATTGTCCCAGCAGTGATCAGGGACGGCTTTCCCACGTCAAGCCCTTGAGGCGTAAGGTGGCAGTAGGCAATGTTGGCTATATCGTACTGATGATTGCTAACAAGGATGAGATCATATACGGTCGTTTCAATGTCCTGCTATTGTTTAAAATCTATATTTACTCTTTTGATTTGGTGGCCACAAACAAGGCAGTGTGCATTACACACGCGGTTTATCGAAGTCACGCGCGTGACAAGCAAGGCATGATGGGAGGACCGATCTCCCGTGATCGCAGCCGCGCCTTGCGCTGTCTAGAAATCCCCCTTTGAGGGGGCAGCAAACGAGTCAATAAACACGGACGTCTGGACAAAGTGACCCCGTCTCAGCTTGGGCCGTGGCGCGACGCTGTTACTGTTATCACGAGGGCGAGACTCGGCGGAGGCGGGGATCAGAAAACGCCTCTGGGTTTCTACAGCCACTTCCCTCCCGTGCCCCTCCAACCGATCGCCGGCCTCTCATGCCCTCGCATGCCCTCTCGGCTTCCACGCCTTTGTTTTGGCACTCGACGCCGGCAACCAACCACGTACCGTTCCTGCCGACCATCCCCACGTACCATCCCCGCGTACCATCCCCATGTTCCATCCCTGCATACCGTTTCCACATACCATCCCAACGTACCATCCTCACGTACCGTCCCCACGTACCGTCCCCACGTACCATCTCCACGGACCATCCCCACGTTCCATCCCCACGTACCATCCCCACGTACCATCCCCACGTACCATCCTGCATACCATCCCCGCGTACCATCCCCACGTACCATCCCCACGTACCATCCCCACGTACCATCCTGCATACCATCCCCGCGTACCATCCCCACGTACCATCCCCACGTACCATCCCCACGTACCATCCTGCATACCATCCCCACGTACCATCCCCACGTACCATCCCCGCGTACCATCCCCACGTACCATCCCCACGGACCAACCCCACGTACCATCCTGCATACCATCCCCACGTACCATCCCCACGGACCATCCCCACGTACCATCCTGCATACCATCCCCACGGACCATCCCCACGTACCATCCTGCATACCATCCCCACGTACCATCCCCGCGTACCATCCCCACGTACCATCCTGCATACCATCCCCACGGACCATCCCCACGTACCATCCTGCATACCATCCCCACGTACCATCCCCACGTACCATCCCCACGTACCATCCCCACGTACCATCCCCGCCTACTGCCCCCGCGTACCCGAGCACCGCGGCGCGTCTGACGCAGTATTTCACTCCGAAGGACCTTCGGCTTTATGATGGTGGCAGCGGTTATTTATTTTAAAAGAACGCAGGAGTCGCATTGCTTACGTAAAGTGTGGACATCGTTCGGAAGGTGGGGGGGGGGGGGTAACAGTGGGTGGGGGGTAACAGTGGGTGGGGGGCTTTGTGGGCGCAGAATTGGAAATTCATTGACAAACCACGTTGCCACGCGACGGGTTTGAAATATAATACTACGGCGGAGATTCCATATTAAAAATAATAAAGGAATTGTAATCGCATTAGCCACTCTAAGCCTGTCGCCCGTCTTAATGCACGGAACATCCGCGATAACCTTATTTCCCCCAATAGCTGACACCCAAGAAGATTTATTTGCTAAATGTTAATGCCAGATTCTCCCAGGCAAGTTGTACCACTGCAAAGGCCAAGCATTCCTTAATTTACACAAATGGTGCCATCCGCCGCTTGTAACGATACAATAAAGGGCAGACGGGTTTGTAGTGGGAAGAGGGGAAATATAACAAATATATCAACGCTCAAGCTAAAAGCGCAAGGCTGAAGAGTAAAACCTAAATAGAAATTAATACGGCGGCGCGTGTTATACGCGCGAGAACGGAACGTGACGTGGAACTAACCAGTGAAAAATGCTAAGCAGAGAGAGAGAGAGAGATGAGCGTGTTTCTTCGTGGCAAATCGTATCACCGAAGTGCTGAATTGTACCGTCGCAGGCAATCAGACAAATGGTAGGCTGCAGCAATCGAGGGGGGTGGCGAGTGGGGAACAATAATGCAGGCTTCGGGGGCCGCTCCGGCCGCTACACTTACAGAGCCCCCCGATTTACCGCGTGGCTTAGGAGCCGCGTCTCTATTTTGTATCAGCCAATTGAACACGAAGACCGCCACGTTGAGTGGCGGGAAAGTAAATGTTGTGGACAATGCGTCGACGATTCGGGGGAGGGCGGCGGACGTCGTGCTTGCATTGAAGCACGCGAACGAGAGGGCACGGGGGGGGGATACGGCGATGCACGCACGCACGCACGCACCCGTACGTACAGGCGCTCGCGCGCCGCTCACGAGCGCACGCGCAAAGTGCGCGGAAGGGCAAGGATCACCACTTCAGCCTAGTTTACTTTTACATTTAAACTATCGGGGCGAACGCGCTGTTAGAGAGTGCCTATTACGCACGCGAGCGCGCGCGAACGCAATCAAGCACACAAACGTGCGCACACGTTGGCTCTGGGTACGTAACCCATTCAGAGATGCGGACATTTCAAATGTTAAATCTGAAACGCGTAATAATTTTTCTAACAGCTATGCAAACCACTGTAATTGTTCATTCATCGATGCAACCATTCATGTACTGAGCGCATCTTGAAATAGAGGCTGTGTGCACAGACCATTTTGGCTCTTTAAATCGATTGCATACGTCTAAGAACGGTGGCATTTTGTTGTTATTTCAGCTTTTAAAGAAAGTGGACATGCGTGGCATTGCGCGCTGTCCAAATACGACAAGTCGATCTTTCACTCCTCTCTCTGGTCCGGAGAAGAGCCATTGCGCAGCACATTAGCCCCTCTGTGTTTTTTTCTGTTCGGGGGCTGTGTTAATGACGAGGCTGTTGATGAGATTCTTTCGCGGGAGGATTTGCGCAAATCCACGGAACGTTGCCGTCTCTCCCAGCCGCTCGACGTCTGTCACTTTGCGTCTGCGCCACGATGTTTGGAATGGGACCCCACTGGCTAACGGCCATCAGCGTGCAGTCATGTAATCCAGAATCCCGCACTCTTACCCCCCCCACCACCGTCCCACGCCACCACCAGCCTTGCCCCCTCCCTCCCGCCGCCAAACGATCCCCTCTCCGCTCTTTCTGCTCCCCTGTGAAAGGGCCCCCCCCACCCACCGTCCGTCTCACGTCTCACGCGGTACGAACTCCGGGGGGCCATGTGTGAGGCTCTCTCCCCCTCGGGCCGTGATGACACACGCGTGCAAGCTGGCTGGCTGGCCGGTTCGAGCGAGGGAGCGAGCGCCGTTATGACGCTGGAAGACCGCGCAGGAATCCCGGAATCCCATACGGGCGCTTGCCGCCAACGCTCGCTTGGTCGATCGCTTGTTCGTTTCGGAGGGGATTAAGGAATGTTTAAAAAAAAAGAGGGGGGGGGGGCGACTCGTTTGATGCGCGCACATTTTAAAAAATAACATCCTCGCGCAAAATGCCGCGGAGAATAGTTGATTGTTCGCATGTGCTCATCTAGACTAAACAGTAGGAGCGAAAAAGATCTAATGCAAGATGTGAAACGCCATAGA